GAATGATACATGTGCATGTGATGTCTACAAGTTGAGATCATTCTACCTTTATAATATTACAAATGAAATGTTATTTAATTTTTACATTTGACTAATTTTTAATATACATAGTTTATGTTCTAACAGTATTGCAAAGGCAACACCTGGTACATTAATTCTACCTTGCAGTGGCTGACTGCTTTTTATCAGTTTACTGTTCATAGAAAATTCCAAAATGTGGGTCTGTTGATTTGATTTGAAAGATACCATAAAGATCACATCAGTTTTTTTCTTGTGATAATGTAAAATCACATGAATGAGGCGTTTACTAACTCTGAAGGCCTCACTGAAGTGCTTTATGTACTGTATGTAAGATTTATACATAATGCCATCTGTGTCACTGCTGCAAAATCTCTCCAAAAACCCTTGGAATTTAGAGATTAGTGACCATTTCAGAGAGCTAGAAGATGCTCATACATTGTTGACATGCACATTGGTGCTATGCAAATTTCTGGTCGTCTTGGAAACAATTTAACCTTCAAACACATTTATAAAATAATTAATTGAACAAGCTTTTTCTTTCTCTGCTCATTGGCACAATGTTTGACTAACAAAGAGTTATGTAATGCACAGTATGTATTGCAAATATGAATTTAATCTGTTTTTTTCTGAATTTGTACCTCAAAGGCAGTCAGATTAAACGCTATGTTGAATGGTTTGGGTTTTTTGCTCTGTTTAATACTCTCAAGATTTTACTGTAAAACTGAGCAAAGTAGAACGCTACATAAGATGCTTGGGTTGAAGAAGAGGAAAAATCCTCTGGTATCTGATCTTTGAGGGCTACATTTTTTATATACATTTCATTTACTTTATTTGAGATAAATTAATTATATCCTTGATAACTTGGAATGATCTGACATCTTTGTCAGCAGAAAGAATCATCTAATTAGTCACTTCAGAGTTTAAAGCTGTGCCATACTTCTTATTGTAGGTTATTTTAAGCTACGTGTGTATCAGTTCACTCCCTGTAGTCTTAGGTAATGTGAATGTCCCCAGTTTTTCACATTTTGTAATGTTGCTGCCTTATGTTAAACTGCTTTAAATTACTTTTTTTCCACATCAATCTACACTCCATACACCATAATGGTAAAGCAAAAACAGGTTTTTAACATCTTTGCAAATTTATTAAAAATAAAAAACTTAAATGATTCTATTTCATAAGTATTTGGAACAGTCGAAATTTAGCTTAGGAGCATTCATATTGCTTGTAGATGATACAACACTTCGAGTGAAGTTAACCTGTGGCAAATTCAATTGAATGGGTATAATTTGGAAAGGCACACGCGTCTTAATAAAAGGTCTAACGGCTGATAATGCATATCAGAGCAAAAATCAAGGACTGAGGTCAAAAGAACTGCATGTAGAGCTCAGAAACAGGTTTGCATCAAGCCACACATCTGGGGAAGAGTTCAGAAGAAATTCTGCTGCATTGAAGGTTCATAGAAGCATGTAGTCTCTGTTACCCTTAATGGAAGACGTTTGAAACCATCATTTTCTAGACTGGTGACCAAGAACCTGATGGTCACTCTAGTTGAGGTCCATGATCATATGTGGAGATTGGAGAAACCTACAGAAAGACAAACATCACTGCAACACTCCACCGATCTGGGCTTTCTGGGGGTGTGGCCAAACTCAATCCTCTCCTCAGTGAAGACACATGAAAACACACTTGGAATTTGCAACAAAAAAAAAGCTCCTAAAGGACCATCAGACTGTGAGAAACAATATTCTCTGGTCTTTGATGAACCTCAATTCCAAACATTGCGTTTGAAGGAAACCAGGCACTGCTCATCACCTGCAGAGTACCATCCCAAAAGTAAAGTGTGCTGGTAGCTGTTTTTGTGGCTGTTTTTCAGCGGCAGGGACTGAGGGACTCGTCAGAGTAGATGAAAAGCTCAGTGCACCAAAATATTGAGATAGCCTTAATGAAAACCTAGTCCAGAGCATTCAGAATCTCAGGCTGAGCAGAAGGTTCACCTTCCAACAGAACAATCAACCTAAGCACACAGCAAGAGTGGCTTATAGACAACTCTGTGAATGTCCTTGAGTGGCCCAGCTCCATCCTGGGCTTGAACCCAATCAAATATTTCTGGAGAAACCTGAAAATGTGCATCTGTCCCCATCCAACCTGACAGAGCTTGAGAGGAGAACAGGTGAGGAGAAGAATGGCAGATAATTGCCAAATGATGATGAGCAAAGCTTGTTGCATCAAACAAAAAAGACTTGAGACTGTAAAGGTGCTTTAGCTAAATATTTAGTTAAGGGTATGAATACTTATGCAATGTACTTATTTCAGTTTTTTTATTTTTAATAAATTTAAGAAGTTGTTACAATTCTGTTTTTGCTTTGTCAATATAGTGTATGGTGTGTAGATTGATGTGGAGAAAAAAAAGTAATTTAAAGCAGTTTAACATAAGGCAAATACATAACAAAACGTGAAAAAAATGAATACTTTCACAAGGCACTGTACATCTAAGTTTATATGGCCATTGTAGTTGCTCTCTTGACACATTTAAATAAAAAGTTTTGGACTACCAATATATGTTCATATAAGTTATTTTGAGCATAGCAAAGAGCGTGTTTGTACCACTTGAAGAAAACAAAGCCACTTCGGTTACAAATCCACAGCTGACTGTTTATTTCATAAAAGCACATTAACAAACCACATGAGTGTGTTTTCCATACAAGCCTTGCACTGAAATAAAGTTGTTTACATGCCTCATCGATTTAATGTAGTCCTGTGTAAAGACTAATGATGACATACTAAATACTACAATCACAATCATTTATAGTTCTTGGTTCCTTCATACATTTCACATGATTATGTTAACAAATAGTCTTGCTTCCTATAAGATGTGAATTTCACTGCCGTTGTATCTAAGACATCCTCCTTCAACAGCTAGTCTAAGAAATGTGTGCTGTATTAAGTTTAATCATACTGAACAATTCATGACGCATATTCATTCCAGGGAGTAAAATCTGGATTTTGTCCTCTTTTACAAATGTATCCAGATTTCATTAAACTATTGTGGCCCGTACAGATCAAACTGCATTTAAATGTAAACCACACTCTTAAAAAAACACAATACTATACACACGTGAAGGCCAGTCCCATAAATCATTACCATCTTTTTGCCTCAGTAAAGAAAGTTTAAGGGAAGGTCTAAATGAACACTGAAGCGTGACTATGAACAGGAGTAATACTGAGAAAAAGGCAGCAGTTGGTTTTTAAGGTTCAAGTCACCAAAACCTTGCACAAGAGGTAAAGTGTGGACTGCTATAGGTAGGAGAGAGTTGTTTCTGTAAACCCCTTAAAAATCTGGCTATATAGTAAGGCTAAGCTAAGTATATTGTTTGGTGTTTTTATGGCAACAAAATATGAGCTGAAATACTTCATCCTTAATTGGTTCTTTAAAAGACCATTTTTATAATTTATATGAACTTTCCCACTTTTCTCAGGTTCTCTCCATTCCACCATGAATGATGTGCTTCCATTTTAAATTAATATGTACTTTTAAAGAATCTAGATAAATCATATTTATTGTTTTATCACATATAGAACAGTGCCTCCTAAGGAATGTCCTAGGAAGGACATCAGGACAAACTTGAAATAAAAGAGTAACAAGCCTTTTAAGGTACAGCAGCAAGTGGCAGTTCATTAGAGTTTCAAAAACATATGTCTTCAAATAAGATGTTGTTTTTAACACTTCTGGTAGAATAAGTGTCTCCGTTTCATTCGTTTCAGGACTGAAACCCAGAAATATGTTCCACTGTAGTATATTGATCATGAAAGATCAGCCTTCCGTTCTGCCAAATGTATGTTGTTAAAAAGATTTAGTTGTGTAATATACATTTTAGACCAGTGTTTCCCAACCTTTTTTTAGTCGCGGCACCCTTTGGAAATTTTAACAAACTTGTGGAACCCTACAAAATTAATTTTGTCACAATATTTGAATTTCTAACTTCGATATGATAATTTGAAAAGTATAGATAGGCCTATTCGGTACAACAGGGAAGAACTGCAGAATATAATGGCATACAGATATTTTTAATATTATTTAAAAAATGTGTCCATCAATGGTGGCAATCATTAGGCTAATTTCTAATGAAGAGACCAATTTATATGACAGATTTTAATGTAGGCTTTTGTACATATGTAAACATTATTTAATTACCATTATAACTAGCTATCTCACAAATTTTTGCTCACTCAGTGGTTTTTTCATTTTACAGTGGGGTAATTTTGGTGCAGTAGCACAAGATAGCTTGATTTCAAACTTTAGCACGAGATAGCTTGATTTCAAACTTTGAATTTAATGAAAAATGACAAGTAAGCAGTCAGTAATAAAATAAGAACAAATAAAGAAATTAATAATGATAGCACAAATAAAAAATAGCGACAGGCTTTTCCATTAAATAAATTGCTTTTTAGTTTTTCAGGTAGGTCTAACAGTAGGGTTAAGATTTTTTATTTATTTTTTTTTTTTACCAATTATCCAAATAATGTTTAGTCCTAGAAAGCTATTATTATCAGAACATGTGAGCATAACATAGCGGTTAGCAGATCAATGAATGAGAGGGCAGTGTTACCAGAGTTGCCCATATACCACACCATGTTACAACACAGTAGGGCTATTGCAGACCGAAACAATACTGTACTACATCGATGTTTCCTGTCGGCTCAATTTTTGAGTGGACTTTGCTGTTCCGATGAGCATGAACGGTATATGAGTGGAGCGACTGAGAGGAGCGCACACGCATAGAGTGGGATAATACACAGAGCACCACACCACGTGAAAGTGAAACCTGAGCGGTGAACTCATTTTCAGCAGTCGAAATTTCCAACAGACTCGAAATTTCGGTGCATCTCTAATTATTAGTGACATCAGAAATGGATATTATATAATAGATGCTTTTTTTGAACATTTTAGCAATTTAAAAATATTAAAAAATTATTTTTTACACGGCATCCCTGCTCTCGACAGACGGCACCCCGGTTGGAAAACACTGCTTTAGAATTCTACAGAAACAACTTTGGCAAAACTATCAATGACAGCCGAATCATTACCTAGAGTTAAATATGAGGAAAATACGAAGGGTTTTAAAGAGCAAACACTGCAGGGTAAAACAATTATTCACAATACTAGGAATGAGATTAAGAAAAATAAGAAAAATCTCTAAAAGCGTAAAAAGCCTGAAATCAAGGTATGGAGGAATGAGAAAAGTACAGATTCTCTGTTTCCCCAGTTCCAATACATTTGCACTGAAGTAGTTAAAATTTGAACAATTGTTTACTTTTACGATGGATCCAGTGACTTCAACTCCTCGACCTGTGGCTCAAGACCTATTACCTGTATAAGGAGATATTTTATATGACTGCTTGAATTGAATTGTTTAATTGCCATATTTATAAACTGTACAATAGGTTTTAAAATGTATATGTTAAAGGAATACTCTACCTCGTCTTGAAGTTGTTCTGTTTCCTCCTTATGTGAAGCTTCAGTCTCCTCTACAGTTTTCTGCTGAGCTGTTTTCTTCTTCAGTAACTCAATCTCCCTGTATAAAAAACAGAAGGCAAAAGACATTAATATATTTCTGAAATTATATAGAATACTTCATAAAATATTACTTAATCTCTTGGCTGTGTATAGTGATCTTGGCCCAGTGACTAAAATAAAAACATCTTTGGGAAAGAATCTAGTTTAAAATACATGTGCCTAGTCCTTAGAAATGTGATATTTGTATTCATGTTTGTTGAGTTTATAGGATTTTTTTGTAAGGTTGTAATTTAGATTCAATTATGAGATTGTCAAGTGATATTGTAAGTGATAGTCTTTTTTTTTTTTTTTAAGAAAAGGATTATTAAAGATTTTTCCTTCCATTAACTTTTTGTCATCATAGAAGAATTTTATCTTACTCATTGTCTGCATGAATTACTTTTTTATTTCATTTTGAATAAATGAATTGACCCAAACACAATGAGTCACATCAATCTGTTTATATAAATTTGAAATATTTGTGTGTGTGTGTGTGTGTGTGTGTGTTTAGTATTTAGTATGTATGTCTTTCAGAATGTTGTTATGTAATACTAATTGTATTTATTGTCTTTTTAAGTATATTTATTAGCCTTGGACAAAATTATCACAACATTACAATTAACAAATAATAAAGGTGAATATATGGACATATATTCATCTTTAAAATAAGGGTTAAAGCTAAACAGGACCTTCGGTAAGAATGTGGATGTGGATCAGTATCTGTGTGTTTTCTCTCACTTTTGCTGATACTCTTTTATAAGGCGTTTGGCCTTGCTGTATTTGCGTTCTAAAGCCTGGTACTGAGCCTGCGTTTCTTTCAGGTGCTCATCCACAGCCTGGCAAAGACTCTGCGCCTCCATCCAATATCCCTCCAGCTTCTCCATGCGCTCCCGGTTCTCCTGCATGTTATGCTCCATCTGGGCCTTTTCAGCACGCCAGCGCTGCTTCTCCTGCTCTGCATGATTTAGCTTCACACATGAATGCAAACAGGTGATTACTTTTTTTTTTGTCTTGTCATGCAAATAGTAACATAGATCAAACCTTTCAACTGTGGAAAACCAGAACTCTTTGTCAGAGGAAAAACTTCCATATGTGTTCTTTTGAAAAATGTAAAGGCCTATAAATGGCAATTCTGACATCATTTACTCACACTAATGGCATTATAAATCTTTATGACTTTTACCAAAGTGAAGAATGTAAGCCGTTATACAATAATTGTTCCTTCCTCCAAGCTCTAAAATCTCATTAAACGTATGCATATTCCCGCTTGGTGCCTCTAGGTATATTGTTTCAGATTTGATGTCAAAAAATGACCCAAGAAAATTATCGGCTCATGTATGCTGTCAAACCTGTTGCCTCTGAATGTGTGAAAACAGCAATCATATTTGAGAGCTGTGGCATGGAGAAGATTTTAAAGGAATAGTTCACCCAAAAATGAAAAATTTCTGAAAACATACTCACCCTCAGGCCATCAAAGAAGTAGATTGTTTCTTTATCAGAACAGATTTTGAAAGATTCAGCATTACATCACTTGCTCAACAATGGATCCTGTGCAAGTGAATGTGTGCCGTCAGAATGAGTCCAACAGCTCATAAAAGCATCACAATAATCCACAAGAAACCAACAAAAACTCCAGTCCGTCAGTTAACCTCTTGTGAAATGAAAAACTGTGTTGAAACAAATCCATCTTTAAGGCATTTAACTTTAAGGGGCCTATTTTAACGATCTAAGCACAAGGTCTAAAGCGCACGGCGCGGGTGCACTTAGGGTGTGTCCAAATCCACTTTTGTTAGTTTAACGATGGGAAAAATGGTCGATGCGCCCGGCGCATGGTCTAAAAGTGTTGTCCCTATTCTCTTAATGAGTAATGGGTGTGTTTTGGGCATAAATCAATCAGAGTCTCATCTCCCATTCCCTTTAAGAGCCAGTTGTGCTCGTGCCATGGCAGATTTGCTATTTACACGGCGGAATTTGCAAGTGCAAAGACAGAACGCGTCTCCAGAGATTAAACGGAGCTGCTCGTGCACAAGCGAATAGGTAGCCTAATTCTGATACATGCAATGACTATCCATTATGACATATAGGCATTTTTATATTTCTGTAGCCTACACAATAATAATCTTTTACATTGCAATCCTTTAATTTTTAATATTTGGCATGTTTGTGTGCTGCTGTGCATCCCTGTGTGTGTAATAAGCAGAGTGTTCGTGCACTGTGGACCCGCCTATACTAACGCGCTCTTTAAAATAACAAAAAAAAAACTACTGCGCCATTGACTTTAGACCAGGTTTTAGTTAATTTTAAAGTTTAGGTCAATGGCGCAGTCTATTTCAGTTGCCTCAAAATAGCAACGCGCCAACAATGCGCCTGAACACACCTCGTTTTCAGACCAGCACGCCCATGAGCGTACAAATGGGCACAAATGCATTTGTTATTTAAAGCAGGACATGAAAATACTACGTCGGGCTGAAACAAGCAAAAAACACTTGCGTCGCGTCTGGCGCCACATTGCACCGGGTGTATGATAGAGCCCTAAATCATTACTTCTAGCCAAAATACAAGTTTATAATCCATAATAACTGCTTTGGAGAAAGCACTCGTATTTTATTAGGAAGCAATGGTTAAATCTTGATGAATTTGCTTATTAGAAACATGCAGCTTTTCACTTCATTACACATTAACAGATGGACTGGAGTCATGTGGATTACTTGTGTCACGAATCCTGTCCATGGACTTCCATTCATTCACCACCAGAGGTCACCCTTTCCATTACATTGACTCTCGCACAACACAAACTGTTGCATAGCACCCCGGACTACATATCCCATCATTCATTGCACTGATTACACACTGCACTGATTGCACACAGCTGTTTCATATCACTCACTCACTATATAACACCCACTCAAACAACCATTCTCCGCTGAGTATTGTTTAGCCTGTTCCCCGTTCCGAGTCTCTGTGTTTCCTTGTTTTGCCTTGCCTTGCCTGTTCTCTCAGTTTCTGATCTGTGACTGAGTTCCTGGATTTTTCCCTCTCGTCTCGCCCCTGTGATTCTGTCTGCCGATCAGTGACCTATGCTAGCCCTAGGACTATTCTTGTGTTTTGCCCACCATATACCTGTTTGCCATTGATCGACCCTGCCTGTGTTTGACCACTTCTCTTGTTAAATAAAGCTTGCACATGGATCCGCACGCCTCTCATCTCGTCAGCCCCGTTACAACTTGATTGTGGATTATTATGATTTTTTTTATCAGCTCTCATTTAACTCTGATTCCAGGGGTGTAAATTACCCCCCCCCGTCCCTCCCATCTGAGGGTTGTCCCCCCCTAAAAATATAATTACAAACCACTCTGTGTATTGTAAATAATATAATGCTTAAAATAATTGTGTAAGTAGTAAAAAAAAAAAGAAAAAGCATTTTAAGTTTAGAAAGTTTCAAGTCCTCCCTCCTCCCTTGCCTCACAGTGGTTTGGTCCACTGCCTGCTTTCCCCCTTTACCTCACCGACACACACGAGTCCGGTGGGCAGTGGGAGGGAACAGAGTGCTTCATTAGTTATGTGTAAGTAGGCTGTCGAGGCTATTTTATTCACTTTAAACATCAGATGAAGTGATTCTTTCTCTTTAATACAGATGATGCTGGATCATTAATAAATTAGTCATGACAAAAAATGATGATATCCGATGTATTTTTCCATGAGCGATTATAAGGTTACCTAGCTTGATTTGTAGCTTGTTTAATACCGTAGATTGTTGAATAGTAAGTCACCCACTACAACTAACACGGCGATAAGCCTGTGTGTAAACTGATATTAGGCTAATATTGTAGATTTACCGATGTGTTGGGTTTTGCTCAATATGATGTTAAGTGGCAGATGTGGGCATGCTGCGGTTGAATATCAAAATAAGAGATGGCCTCAATCCCAGACGGAACCTAAAATACTATGTGGAGGACGTAAAATAATTAAACATGGTCTCCATGCTATGTACACATGCTGTATACACTTATCTATCCTTACAATTACAATTTTGGCTGTATTATTTGTGTCCCCTTCAAAAATTGCTCTTGAGAAATGTTATGTTTATTGTCCCCCCTCTAACTGAAATTTACGCCCTTGTCTGATTCTGACGGCATCCATTCACAGCAGATGATCCAATAGTGAGCAGGTACATGTATCTAAATCTGTTCCAATGAAAAAACAAACTCATCTACATCTTGGATGACCTGAAGATGAGAAAATTTTCATTTTGGTTGAACTGTTCTTTTAAGCTATTAACAAACTCCAATTTCCAGACATATGGACTACTATTATGGTGATTTTGGTCTTTTTTGAAGTTTGACCGTTTGAATCACTGTTCACATTTGTTGTAAAAGAGCAGCATGAACAATTACGAAGTAAATACTATTTCAAGTAAATGATGACCGTTTTTATTTTCAGATGAACAATCACTTCATCCTAAGAAATTCCAACATTTTATTAGAGATGTGATGATCAGTTAGCATGAAAAAAAGTTATCATACCTTCCTCTTGAGCTGTTGGATTTCAGCCTGAGTCACAGCATGTTTGATCTGCAACTGTGCCAAAGTAGTAAACAGGTTAAAGAATGTAACTAAATCTGCTTTTTCCCCCAATGAACTAGCATTTTAATGGAAAATAAATCAAGCACACTGATTAGTCTGAATGCATTTTTCTGATCTAAAGTGACCGTTTGAAAAGACATTTGTATGACTTTCAGTGGGTGGTTATCTAAATCTGTTCCAATGAAAAAACAAACTCATCTACATCTTGGATGACCTGAAGATGAGAAAATTTTCAGCAAATTTTCATTTTGGTTGAACTGTTCTTTTAAGCTATTAACAAACTCCAATTTCCAGACATATGGACTACTATTATGGTGATTTTGGTCTTTTTTGAAGTTTGACCGTTTGAATCACTGTTCACATTTGTTGTAAAAGAGCAGCATGAACAATTACAAAGTAAATACTATTTCAAGTAAATGATGACCGTTTTTATTTTCAGATGAACAATCACTTCATCCTAAGAAATTCCAACATTTTATTAGAGATATGATGATCAGTTAGCATGAAAAAAAGTTATCATACCTTCCTCTTGAGCTGTTGGATTTCAGCCTGAGTCACAGCATGTTTGATCTGCAACTGTGCCAAAGTAGTAAACAGGTTAAAGAATGTAACTAAATCTGCTTTTTCCCCCAATGAACTAGCATTTTAATGGAAAATAAATCAAGCACACTGATTAGTCTGAATGCATTTTTCTGATCTAAAGTGACCGTTTGAAAAGACATTTGTATGACTTTCTGTGGGTGGCTTATTATAAAATGTAACTACTGCAGCCACAGAAAGAAAGAGGTCTTTACATGAAAGACACCAATATTAACGAATCTTTTCCCAGCAAGGGTGTAAAGCACCTTCATTAATGTTTTAGTTTGTTATTTTATTAAACTGGCTTTTTGAGATGGAACTACTACTTTTTAGGTTAAGGTATTCTAGTTATATAATTTATGTGGGTGGAGTTTGTTCCATGTAAACACTACTTTATGAATAGTTACACCCTATTCTGACCTGGCCCTTCTTTGCATCTTCGCTAAGAGACAAAGCAAAAGTATTTATTTTTGGATACTTAAAATATTGGATGCACCGACCGTTTTTATTTTCAGATGAACAATCACTTCATCCTAAGAAATTCCAACATTTTATTAGAGATGTGATGATCAGTTAGCATGAAAAAAAGTTATCATACCTTCCTCTTGAGCTGTTGGATTTCAGCCTGAGTCACAGCATGTTTGATCTGCAACTGTGCCAAAGTAGTAAACAGGTTAAAGAATGTAACTAAATCTGCTTTTTCCCCCCAATGAACTAGCATTTTAATGGAAAATAAATCAAGCACACTGATTAGTCTGAATGCATTTTTCTGATCTAAAGTGACCGTTTGAAAAGACATTTGTATGACTTTCAGTGGGTGGCTTATTATAAAATGTAACTACTGCAACCACAGAAAGAAAGAGGTCTTTACATGAAAGACACCAATATTAACGAATCTTTTCCCAGCAAGGGTGTAAAGCACCTTCATTAATGTTTTAGTTTGTTATTTTAGTAAACTGGCTTTTTGAGATGGAACTACTACTTTTTAGGTTAAGGTATTCTAGTTATATAATTTATGTGGGTGGAGTTTGTTCCATGTAAACACTACTTTATGAATAGTTACACCCTATTCTGACCTGGCCCTTCTTTGCATCTTCGCTAAGAGACAAAGCAAAAGTATTTATTTTTGGATACTTAAAATATTGGATGCACCCTAATCTGTGATATCAGCAGAGACCTCCACAATTTGCTGATGTGGAGTTTGTCTGTTCAAACTGTCTGTCTACACACATTAATGTTTGCACTTTTCCATCAAACATAGTAGTTTATAGTTTAACAATTTCAGGTATAAGATTTAGTTTCAGTTCAGTTATGCCGTACATAATTTCAGCACTAAACAGAAAATTCTGATTGCACAGGTTGCTTTAAAAATTTACTTTTACAGTTTAATGAGAAAATCTCCTCTGTCGCTTGACATTATCCATCTACTTCAAAAGATGAGAAAACATTCACTTTTTTGCTTGCAAGAACAATTAAATGTGGATATTTTTAACTTTTAAGCAAGTAATTTTTCATTAGATACTCGTCAGTATCATTTTTTAAATCCTTACTGTCCCGCTTAATTTGTGTCTTACTTCTTTGTATTTGTGGGCAAGCTTCTGTACTTTTACAGTTTAATGAGAAAATCTCCTCTGTCGCTTGACATTATCCATCTACTTCAAAAGATGAGAAAACATTAACTTTTTGCTTGCAAGAACAATTAAATGTGGATATTTTTAACTTTTAAGCAAGTAATTTTTCATTAGATACTCGTCAGTATCAT